ATGAATCCAGAGGAGGTTAATGAAAGGGTCACCAAGTAGGGCTCAGGGGAAGCTAGACATGGTTTGTGGTAGGGCTGGGGAGGCAGTGTCCTGGGAAGGCCTTCTGCAGGCATGTCACCCACCCTGGAGGACCCTAGAAGTATCAATTACTTCCTCCTAGAGAGGCCCCTGGTCAGTTACCACTAAATGCTGCTGCAGGTTTGCTCTGGGGAGTCAGCTCGTAAGGCACTGGCTTGTTAGCCCATTGGTGGGAGCCTGGGGACTAAGAGAGCACTTGATGGGCTTTGTACCGATCCCACGTCCATTTGTTCACCATCTTTCCATCCATTCATTCCTTCACCAACAGTCAGTCCTGAGTACTTCCTCAGAGCCAGTCTGTGAGCAGCGGGGTGCTGGGGAGGCAGACAGGAAATGCCTTCCCTCCAGGGCACACTCCCCCATCACCGTGCCTCCAGAAGTCCTGTGTGACTGCGTCCTGATCCCAGCCCCGCTCTGGTGAAGCAGGTGGGCGAGATGGAGTGCACAGGCAGGCGATCTCGGGGCAGATTTTACAGGGAAAAGCAAGTCTGCTATTGTAGGGTCTCAGACCTGTTGATTTTGGTAAGCTTGAACCATCTTTTAATTCCTGGGTTTGGTTCCCTTTTGTTTCTCCCTAAATTTTTGGCTACAGTCCTTTTAAAATTCATAGCCTATCTTGGTTGAGCCAAAAGAAACAAGAGAATGGAATTGAATGTTCAGACTGTTTGAGTCAGAGAGAAAGTCGGGCAGTAAACCCTGGCACCAGGTGCCGTGGGCACAGCCCCAAATGGGAGAGGCAGCTCAGAAGGGGTGCACCTGCAGACATACCCACACAGTGCTCTCCTGTTCTACCCTGGGAAGGTTTTATGGTTTCTTTTAAGAATGGAAACTTGAGAGAGATGCGGCAGAAGGGGGAAGTCAGAGACTCGAAGCAGGAGAAGGACCCCATGTGCCATTACTGGCTTTGAAGATGAAGGGGCCCCAGGGCCTCAGCCATGCAACTGCAAGGAACGAAATTCTGCCAACAACCTGAATGAACATGGACGTGGGTTCCTCCCTCATTGACTTGAGATTCCTTGACTTCAGCTGTGCAAGACCTTAAGCAGAAGATCCAGTCACGCCGTGCTGGACATCTCACCCACGGAATCTGAGATAATAAATGTGTGTTGTTTTAAGCTGCTAAAGGGAGGAAGAGGAGGAGGAGGAGGAGGAGGAGGAGGGAGAGTGAAGGGGGAGGAGGAAGGGGAGGAAGAGGAGAAGAAGAATGGACACTGTTCCCTACAAGGAGCCTGAAACCTTTCCCTAGGAGCGTAGCTCTAAGCTAGGGTAGCAGAGGCTGTTGATGGCTGCACTTTCCTTCTCCCCAGTAATGAGGCACCCACTTAGGAACTGACCAGAAAGTCTTTCAGAAAGCACGGGGGTTCTGGTGCTGGAGGGAGGGCCATGAGCTGTGGCCTTCCCAGGGTGGCCACCATGGCCTTTAGCCTGGTGCCCAGTGCAGAGGATCAGCCCTGACACAGAGGAGACCTGTTCTCTGAGTGAGCTTTGCCCAGGCCTGGTGGGGGCTGCTTCCTGGCGCTTCAGGATGCCGTAGCCAGGGAGCAGCGATGGGGGCTGGGGCAGAGAGGCCAGGGAGTGAGGCCGAAGGAGAGAGGCTCAGGCCCTGGCAACCCCGGGTCCTCCTTCCTACCCGTTCTCCCCAAACACTTTCTCTTCCACCCTGGCAACAGGGTTCACTTTGTCTGTGGGATCATGTGGGATCCAAGCCATATCCACAGCCACAGGCACTGCCCCACAGAGGCTGGGGAACTGCCTAGAACCCCACGCCCCCACCCCCAAAGGTACTGACCAGGTGCTGGTGGGATGGCCCTGGAACTCATGGCAGGCACAGGGAGGCCCTGGGAACTCCCAGAGTTGGGGATAGAGTCCTTCAACTATAAAGCAAACTCCCTAAATGCAGTTCTCCACAGAGGTGGGAGAATCTGCCAGGAAGAGTGACAGGGGCTTTCCCATCCTAACCGGCTCTGGGATTCCCTCCAGAGCCTCCTGGCTGCCTCTGCTGCAACCACGGCATGGGTCTCAGGGGGACGCTGCTCCCCCTGACAGTGGCTCAATGCCGTCTGGATGGGCCCCCAGCTTTCCCTATAGACTGGCCTGCACTGAAGTCCCTGAAGGGGTAGGGTCACTGGAGGGAGGTGAACATGGCTTTATCACCCAGCTCTTCCTCTAGACCCCAGATAGACGGCTCCCCTGGCCCGCTGGGTCCTCAGCCCTCGCCCCTTGGACAGGAAGGTGTACCTGTCCCCTCCCTGCCAGCTAGACCAGCAACCCCCCAGGTAGCAGCACAGTGCGGATGGCGGGGCCTGTCCGGCTGCCCAGGTGTCTCCAGGCCCAGTCTCCACACCCACCCATTCTGGTTTTTGTCTGGTTCCTTGGTCTCACATCTCTTGAACACCGACAACTGCACTTTCAGGATGACAAGCCTGCCTCCCTCCCTCCTGGCCATCTCATCCTCCCCTGGCTCTCCCTTTCCTCTGGCGCCTCTCTGCCTCTCGGGTGCCCTTTCCCCTCTGCTCCCTGGTTAACCAGCTGTGTAATGAGCTGCCAGGGCTGGGCTGATGGATGATGGGCCTTCCATTGCTCTGCTCTTCCTCCGCCCCTCTTCGTTCTCCTCCCTTTTCCAGCCTCTTCTCACCACTCCCTCCACCGCGTATTTCACCATCAGGAAAGGGCTCCAAGAGAGAAAGGGCCTGTGGATCAGCCAGTGGAGGAGGGGGGTTGGGGAGACAGTAGGGGTGGTGCAGGCAGCTCCTGCAGATAAGGATTCACTGGACTCCCTGGGAAGCGCTGGATGAATGAGAGAGAATGGTCCTTCGCTGTCCCTGACAGAGCCGAGCCTGGAGGTGGGTGGGGAGGCAGCGGGGCATGGAAGAACTTCTGGGGACTCAGAGCAGCAAATACTGAGTTTGATTGACTCTGGCAGTTATTAGCTGCATGACCTTGGGCAGGTAAGCATGTTTCTCCATCTGTAAACTGCAGATAATACTTTTTTAAATCTACCCCTCAGTGCCTCAGTGTAAACTCAATCCACGTTGGCTCCTGTCCCTGCTGTCAGGGTGCTGGGCCACCCTGTTTCCCTGAAATCACCCCCCCCCCCTGGTATCCTTGATTCCACCCACAAGCTAACCCTTTCCTACAGGCACTCTGTATACCAAGCACATTCACACCCACAATGTAATGTGGTCCCTCTTTTCACAACTAGGGAAGCTGGAAGGCAACAAGGCTAACAGTGACCAGAGTATCGGTAGAGGCCAAAGCAGAGCCAAGGAGCCAAAGTCCAGGGCCTCAGGACCCGGCGTGCCAGCAGCAGCAGGTCGCTGAGAAAGGGGCCAAGGAAAGGTTTGCTGAGAGACTCAACTGGGCATGAGCTTCAAAGGGGCCTGAGGGAGCGAGAGCCCAGCTCTGCCTCTGCCCCTGTCGCTTGCTGGGTGACCTTGGGGAAGTCCTTTTTCCTCTCTGAGCCTCAGTTTCCTCCTCCTCATCTTGCAGGAAGAATGGATTGCATGCTTTGTGACTCTCTCTCTGCAAAGGGACCCAGCATCGTGCATATCCAGCTAGTCCCCATTTCCTCCACCCCCCATTTCCTCATTCTTTCCCACCCCCTCCTATTGCTTCGGGCCTGTAATCAATGAGATGTAAAATGAGAAAGTATCAGGAACTAGCAAAGCATGGAGAGCAGCTGGGGCAGCCTGGGCGCCTCTGAGCAGGATGGACTGCCAGCCTGTCACCTCGGCCCAGCCTCCCACGCCTGACTCAGGCCATCAGGCCAGCAGTGACTCACCCAGCCTAGGCCCGGGGGGGCCCCCAGCTAGAGATCAGAGTGGGAAGGCCCATTTTCAAGGAGTCCAAAGGACTCACCTTAAAATGAGTAATGAAATCTATGTGTATTGACATAGAAAGATGCAGTCAGGAAGTATGGCTGAGTCATAAAAGCCGGGTTACATGATCAAGTCATCCCATTTATGTTATTACATGTGTATACATACATAAAAATATGGGCAGGGAGACTCCAAACTGTGAATAGCAGTTATCTCTGGGAGTAGATTATAGGGAAAACATTCACTTTATACTTTATATACTTTTCCTGTGTTGGACCCTTAAAATAAGCATATACGTATAATATGGCTTTATAATAAAAAGGAGATCATTTTATAATAAAGATATTCCCATTATGGGCGGGAAAGCCTTGCAGAAATATGTGTGAGCTAATAAAAAATGCTCGCTGTCTTCGCTTGGGGCTGGAATTTTATCAACCTAGGGCGGGGAAGGCCAGTGAATGCCTGCTGACCCAAAGCAGTAGGTCCAAAATCAAAGCACAAAGAGTTTGATTTTTAAAAAGGAAAAATCAACAATCCCTTAATGAGTCTGGTTTGTAAGATCCAATCTGTCAAAATATATGACCCTTAAGGCAAAGGGGGAATAATTATAAAGAAGACCTTGGTGCCCACAGCTCAAACCTGCACTCGAGGTTGGGGCCGTCAGAGCTGAGGGCCCCTCCCGCTGACGCCTTACGCAGCTGGAGAACCAGGCCCACCTCAGCACTGTGATCCAACTGCTCTTCCCCAAAAGGATGCTGCTTACCTCCGACCAGCCCAAGGCCACTCGGGAGCCTTTAGGAATGACTCTCTAGGGTCCCTTGGCTTCTTGCCTTCTCGTTTTCTCCTGCCACCAAGCCCAGGGCACATGGGGACTCACACTGAGCCAAGGACCCAGGCTCGAGCATATTGTGAATAGGGGAAGGTGGTAACGAGCCAGGCAGATTTTAGCCTACACCAGAATGGCTATTTGAGGGTGGAGAGGGTGGAGGGGCTGGGAAGGGGATGGAGGCTGTGGGAGGTCCCTTGGACTGTGGGATTCTGTCAGTGTTCAGATGACTGATTCTATGTCCCCCCTCCTGAGGAGTCAGCACAGGGACTGAAAGGTGCAGTTAGACACAAGTTTATTGGTGGAGCTGCGGCCGAGTTTTCCCTCTCTCTGGGATAGCCAAGGGCACAGCACCAACAGAGGGATGGACACAGACCCCCAAACGGACACATGGATGGTGCAGACTCATAGAGACCATAGCACAGCCACACAGGCACAGAGACACACAGGCCACAGCACCAAGAAATGCACACACACACACACACACACACACACGTACACACAGAGAAAACCACAAGGCCACACACGGACAAAGTGCGAGCTTTGGGGCTCCTGCATAGACAGAGCGAGGGCCATGTGAGGAGGGGCCCCTGCTGACCTCCCCCAGGCATAGGCACACCGACAGCACACAGATAGGCAAATGCCCCAAGCCAGCCAGGCTGCCACACAGACAAATGAACTGCACGGAAAGGATGCTTGCAGCTCCCCAGACTGTGGGAGCAGGGACCCCGGGATTTCCACATATCCCCACTGCACTGATTCCCTGCTCTGCCTGACTCCCGACCCACTCCCCCACACACACACTTTGGTCTTGCCCACTGGGGCTGGGGGCTGGGGAGCTGGCAGGTGAAAGGAGGGGGGAGAGGAGGGGGTAAGGGCCCGGCTCTGCCCTTTGTCTATGAGAAGGGAGGCAGGTGCTGAGAGTCCAGGGCTGAGCCAGGGCCTGGCAGTGGGGTGAGGGCAGGGTCAGCTCAGGACTGGGGGGGCTCCCGGCAGCGCAGGCACTGGGCCATCTCAGGCTGGTACTGCTCGACCTGCAGGGTAGAGCTGGAGAATCCAAACCGAGAGTGGAGCTGGGATGTGGCTTCGGCCAGGACAGCTTCAGGGTCTGCTGTGGAGTCTGTGGAAGAGCGATAAGAGGCAGCAGGTTCCCAGGGGAGTCGGGAGCCAGGCAGGGCTCGAGATAAGGACGGGTGAACGGGCACCCAGGGGCTTGCACAGCGTTAAAGCCAGGCTTCAATGGAAGCTTGATTTGCTTTCCGTATTGTATGAAAAGCATAAAAACATCAAAGAAAAGGTTGGAGAGGCTCACTCCCGATTGACCATGCTAACACACTAAACTGTTCTTATTTTTCTATTCTCTTCCGTTCTTTGAGTGTCAATATTACAGCAGCCATACCACCCAATTTTCCAGCATAATCCAGATGTTAAATATTCTGTCCCGTTGTCCCCCTAGAGCTACCATCACATATCCTACAAAGTATATTTTTGGCACCCAAATTGCATGTCTCTGATTGCTTCTTGCATCTGGAAGAGACTCAAAAATCCTTTGTCAGCTTCTGAGTCACCATATATATTTTTAATAGCTGAATCATAATGTAGATATAATTTTATGTTCCGCTTTTTTCTCTTAGCATTATACCATAAACATTTTCCCTAGTTGCCATACAGTCTTCGTAATCATCATTTTTAGTAGTTATGTGATACCCCCACTGAGTGGGGGTGCAAGAATGTACCTACCCGCCCCCATCCCTAGACCTGTAGGTACTAGCGATCCTGTAAAGGGTAACTGGTTGCCTTCACTACTTCAGGGAGGGTGAAACCTCCCCTAGAACACCCTGGGCAGCACCTCCTGTCTCCAACATGCATGTGTGTGAGACAGAGACAGACACAAAAAGAGACGGAGAAGGACAGAGAGACTGAAACCATCCCAGTAATTCAGGCCATGTTCCTATGTTTGCAGGCAGAGGGGAGGGGACAAATGTTTCTAGGAAGTAACTGGCTGGGGCCAGTGTGGACTCACCGATGGCCAGATGTGCGGAGGCAACATGGTAAGTGAGCGTAAGGGACCACAGGTGCAGCTCATGAGTTGCCCGGACTCCTGGCACTGACAAAAGTGTATCCCTCACCGGCTCAAACCCCACATTTTTGGGGGAACCTGCAAGCAACACCCGCCAAGCTTTACTTTTGGGGCCGCTCCTGCCCAGGGGCAGACCCCACTAGACTCCACTTCCCTCATCCTGTACCTGCTCACCCTGTTGACCCCCATAATTCACCCTATGCCTGAATCCTCCTTCCAGCAATAGAACACATGGCCCCAGCCTTCTCCCCACACTCTCTTCAGAGGAAAGAGAGGCACCCCGTGCTGGAGTGAGGGGGCTTGAAGGGTGGGGAGCAGTGGTGTCTGATTCACCTTCCATGAGGACGCGAAGAACATCTCGGAGGGTGGGAGCCGTGGACCCAAGGGCACAGATAGAGAAGAGGAAAGTGCTGATGGGGTCAGCTGCCTTGTACTGAGGCTGGAGAGAGAAAGACTCCTAAGCCCAGGAACCAGAGACCTTTCAGAGGAAGATTTAGGGATGTTCTGAACAAATAGGACCTGAGAAGCCCCTGAGAACCCTGCTGAGAGGAAAGGGACCATGACCCTGGGCTGGGGATCTTGGGGAGCTGGAAGCTGGAGTAAGGAAGGGAGGCTGTGGGCCCTGGGAAGAAGGGCACGAGGTGTGGAGTTGGGGGAGGAAGGCTGGGGCAGGCCTGGACCGTACCTTGAAGTAGATGAGGATGGAGGCGGCCAGCACGCCAAAGCTCTGCAGGAGGTCCCCCAGCACATGCACAAAGGCCGCCCGGACGCTGGTGTTCCTCAGGGGCAGGGGCTCCCCGGGCCCCTCCTCCAGTGGCGCATACTCTGCCCCCCTAGACCCATGGCTGTGGGGGGGCCCAGCCTGGTGCAGCACAAAGGCCATTCTGAGGGGGAAACAGAGCGGCTCAGGCCCGGCAGCCTGCCCCCGGCCTCCTCTGCCCTATTTACACACCTCCTCCTCTCACCTCCCCAGGAGCTGTTTCTCCACCTATTATCTCCCTATTTTCCCAGACCCAGGAGGAAGACAACATTGTCCAAGAGAGACAAACAGTGCAGCCTGGGGACAAGAATACAGCACTTGGTGACAGAGATGTGGACTTAGATGCTGGCCCTGCCACTTAACTAGCCATGTGGCCCAGGTAAGTCACCTGGTCACCTCTCAGGATCTATTTCATTAAGTATATTGGGGTGGTACAACCCACCTCATGGGGCAGTTGTGAGGCTTTAAATGAGATAATACTATAATACTGATGAAAGCCCCCAGCAAGACTGGCTGCTACACCGGAGGCCTTTAACAAGTGACTGTTGACTCTGAATTTTAGGTCTCTATCCCAGTCGTTTTTCAGGCATCCCCAGAGCAGAGAGCTGAGAACTGTGTGTGCGTGTGGCATGTCTGTCAGGGAGGGAAGGGCCAGCTCTCTCTCCCAGCCTGGAGGAGGACCCCTTGCCCTGAGCCCCACGTGGCGCCTGCTCCATACTGGAACGTACAGCAGATTGGCACAGACTGCGATGCTGGCGGTCAGCAGCATGGCGCCCCCCTCGATGTGGTAGTCGCTGTGCAGCAGGCGGATGAAGGCCAGGTACAGGAGGATGCCAGTGACCATCCAGAGGGAGACCACAGAGGCCAAAGCCCCCAGAGTCTCTGAAAGGGGAGACAAGCTATCAGAGATCTTCTCGGGACCCTAACAAGTACCCTCGGGCAAGACTGGAGGGTCACCGGGTCATACAGGGGCCTTACCTGAGCGGTGCCAGCCAAAGGTCATGGTGCGGGTGGCCGGACGGGTAGAGAGCCAAAGGGAAAAGAGGCTGCCCATCATGCTGCCCACATCCGCCAGCAAGTGGGCTGCGTCGGTCATAATGGCCAGGCTGTGTGCCAAATACCCACCTGCAAGGGTAAATAAAATGATGTACAGTCTGGTTCCCCTGGGTATGTGTACAGGCACGGAAAAGAGAGTCAGGGGGACATACATCAAAATGTGAACTGTGATTTTTCTCTGGTGATGGGATTACAGATAGTTTTTCTTTTTTTCTTTTCACTCAGCCACATTTTCTAGTTTTCCTACAGTGACATATTTTAATAACAAGAAAACGAGGCTTTTAAAAGACCAGTTAGCCCTGAGAAGCCAGCCCCGGCCCTCTGGCCCTGGACCTCGCCGTGAATTCCCCTTGGTGCTTGCTGTCCCTCACCCTCTCCCATCTCTGGAATCCCAAGCACCCAACTTCCCCGTCCCAGCCATCCCCGTCTTCTCTGTATCTCCACCCAGGCGCATCCCTGGGATTCTGCGTGGAGAGTGGCACAGGCAGGTTGCAGGAGGATGCGGTTGGAGGAGCTGCTCTCAACTTACCGACCACCTCGCCGGCCATGAAGACGCAGCACACAGCACAGGCGGCACACAGCTGCCTCTGTGCCTGCAGCCTCTCAGGGGTGAGACCCAGCTGTGGCAGGGGGTCTCTGTGGCAGTGATGGGAGGGCATCTCCACAGCTTTGGGCTCCTCAGGGAAGGGCTCTGAGGGCTCTGTGAAGAGACTGAGGCAGGCAACATGGTTCAACAGCAGGCTGACCTGCTCCTCACTCCCGGGTCCTGGGTCCTGCACACCGGCTTCATCAGATGTGACCCATCTCTCGCTCCTTCCCAAGGCCTGGTCAAACCCGGGACCTTGTAGACAGAGGGCCACACAAGAGGTGGGGCCTGAATGAACAGCTCAGATTCCAGCCTCCTTTTTCCTCTCATACACATTTCACAGCTGGAAAGCACCTTAGAAATAGTCTAGTCTGACACTTTATTAAAGAGAGGAGAAGTATGTGGCTCAGAGAGGGAGAGGACTTTGGGAGGCCACACAGCTAGTTAGTGGTAGAGCTGAGACTAGATTCCAACCAAGTCAATTCATTATGATAGGTTCCATCAGGAATACAAAATGAGCAAATCACCAAACAAAACCCTTTCTGATCTCTGGGGGCTTTTGGTGGACAAGACAAATGTGTACCTAAATACTATGGTATGTGACATGAGGTAGCTATTGTCACTAAAGCAGTTGAAGAGCTATCAGGGCTCAGCTAGAGAGAGACATTGATTCTAATGAGGAAGCCAGGGAAATAACTGAAGGAGGCACCATGAGAAGGGCCTTGAAGGATGGGGGGGATTTTGATAAAGGTGAGGTAGGTGAGCATGCCAGGCAAAGGCAATATGGAGGGAATTGGCGTGAAAGTGGGGGGCGGGACTCAGCCCATGAACCTGGCCTTAGTGCCTCCCTCCCAGACCCATCTCCCATGCCTCCACTCCCAGATCCTTCACCTGCCCTCTCTAGACATGCAGCTGAAGTGTGACCCTTTTAAGAGCAGAGTAGAATGTTAGCACCCAAAAAGCCTGAGATTCCTTCCTGGCACAGAGAACTAATGGTCAGATTCCAGAGCTGGGTTGTCATGGGGAGGATGGCGTGTAGGCTGCTGTGGTTGGCAATGGTAGTGGTAGGGACACTGACTTTTGAGTCTGCCACAGGTTAGCTGGACCTCGGTCTAACCACAAGAACGAAGCAGAGGCCACCTCAACTGCACAGTGCCACAGGCCTCCCTTGACAAATGGGGCTGAGGGCCTCACCTGAGGATGCCAGAGGCTGAGTTTTAGGTCCATTTTGGTCCAATTCCCACCCCACTACTATCCAACCTGAACCCCAGCAAGGACAGAACCCTCCACAGAACAAATAGACCTAAATAGAAAAATACAGTCCTAGAAATACACATGGAAGTGTGACAAGAATACCCATGAGTGAAAACGAAGGCTCCAGATAGAAACACGATCATGGCAGTAAAGTGGGGAGGGGTGCCTAGGACCTTCCGGCTGAGAAAAGCTCTGCCAAGGGGGTAAACTGAGGTGTGAGGGAGGTGGTGGGGGGCATTTGGTGCTTGTAGAGAAATTCAAGTTGCTGGTAGGTACATTAATTTCTTAGAATTTCCTTTCAAAACTTCGTATCTGGTTGTGTGTGATTCTAGGTGTTTCCAGAGGAGATGGGGAGATGAGCATGGTTTTGAAACCCATCCTCATTCTCTAAAGAGGTGGGCCAGGGAGTGCACACATGCTTAAGCCCAGTCTAGTGGGAGAGACAGGTGTGTCACAAATGAGTTCTATGCAAGTAGAGGCTGGGGCCGGGAGAATTGTGAACAAAGGACTTTGGAGCACAGGGGAGGGAGTGACCAACTTTAATGGGGGGTGAGGAGAACTCCACAGAGGAAAGGATGTATAAGATGAGGCCTAGGTGGAGAAGGGCAATCCAGACACACGGAAGGACAACGACAAGATACGCGGCTTGGAGTTTATGGGAAGAGCCAGGAGAAGGGTTGGGGAGGAAAGGGAGAAACTCAAAGGCACATAAAGGAGGTACACTGATTGATTTAACAAATCTTTCTTGAGCCCCGAGATGACCTTGCTGATGCACAAGTCTGGGAGGAAGACAGGAGAGGACACAGAGGGGTCCCAGAACAGACCAGGCCAGAGGCACCCTGCGCAAAATTTTAGAGGAGGGGCAGGTAGGTAGGGAAGAGGCTCTTTCAGAAAATACTGCAGGATTTGGTGACTAAAGGGGTCATATGAGGGTGAAGATGAGCTGGGAGTCAGAGATGCGGGTCTGAAGAGCAAACAGAAGCTGGGTGGCTTTGGGGCATGGGCAAGATGCCTTTACTGGTCCTGTAAGGCACAGCGCAGCCAGTCACCAAGGTAGCTACCCATCAACAGGCTGCTCCCTTTTGTTCTGCATGAATTGGGCACTAAAGAACCTCATTGTTGATGTGTGTGTGTGCGTGTGTATGGAAGGGGGCACTACATGCTGTTTAGAGAGAAGGAAAGGCAGTTTTCTCTCCCTGGCCCTCTGACACCCCCAACAACAAACAAATAATACTGAGTGGGGTAGAGAGATGTAGGGAGGGGAGACAGCCTGAAGGAGAGGCAAAGGATATGTGAAGAGATGCCAGGGCCATGGTTGGAGCCCCCACAGTTGCCCTCGTCTGCAGTCCCCTGCAGGAAGGAGTCAAACGGGAAGTCTTATCTCCCTTTGCTCATCCACTCCCCCACCCACCCAGGTTTACAGCCCCCACCCAGAGAAACAGCCAGAAATACACAGAGGCACCACATCAGCGACAAAGGGAGAGAGACTGGGAGGGAAACAGAAAAATTCGGAGAGATGAGCAAAGAGACAAACGGACGGTCAGCTAACAGACAAAATGGCCAGCGGAGGTGGCCAGGGAGGGCCTGGCGTGGCCGCTCGGAGAGACAAGGCGGACAGAGCCGGCGGGCGCCAGGCGCGGGAGGCCGGCGGGACGCGGAGGCGGTTCTCCGGCCGCCCCCGGCCCGCTGTCCCCGCCGCTCCACGAGTCTCATTTCACACCTCGCCGCCCCCGGCCCCGTCTGTGCGGAGCCTGGAATACCCCCTGCCGCCCAGACCGCACCTGCTCCTTCCTTGCCACCCCCTCGCTTCCCGGTGCCCTCCCTCTTCCCAGGGGCCTGGAAGACCCACCCGCCTTGGAGCCCCGGCCCATCCTCGGCCTGGGTGTCCACAGCTGGCCACCGCTGGAGGGGATGCCCCGAGCTCGGGCGCACGGAGGGAGGGGCCGGTGACTGCAGATGGGGCTCCCAATCTTGGGCCGCAAGGTGCTTCCATCGCCAGGGCCCCGGAGCAATGCAGACATCGGGGCACCTGGCGCGGACTCCGGTCCGACGGAGGGTAGTCGCTCGTAGGGAAGCCAGACGCGGCGGGGGCGGGGAAGGGGACGGGAGGCTGGTGGGGCGGGCCGGGGGGCCGTTTCGCATGACTGGGAGAAAGAGGGTGGCTGGGAGCAGGCGTAGCGGGCTGTTGAGCGGCGGGGTTCGGGGCTGGCTGGCTGAGCGGCCGAGAGTCTCTGTGCGGCTGCCTGGCCGCGAGACACGAAGCTGTGCAAGTCGCGGTGCGCTGGGGCAGCCGGCCGGTGCCGCGCCGAGGGAGACAACGAAATGGAAGGATGGCAGTAGTGTGGCGCCCCCCGGCCGAGGGCTGGCCCAGGTCTGTCTTACCTCTTCAAACGCAGGCCACCACCGGCGCCGCCGCGGTCCCGGGGGCTCACCAGGCGAGTAGTCTCCAAGCCTCCCGTGGCTGGAGAGGGCTCCATGTCCCCGCGGCCCCGACCGTCTAGGTCCCACCGAGGGAGGGAGAGGCGGGGCCGGCCCCGTGCCAAGTCCAAGTGGCCAGTCGACTCCCGGACTCCCCACAGGGCCACCAGAGTGGAGGTAACTGCAGCTACTGTGGCGCTGGGAGTCCGAACTGCAGATCCCGCGGCGGCTGGAGCCCCGCCCCGCGTGGGGCGAGCTCCCTAAACCCCGCCTCCAGGCTCCCGGGTCTCTCCCTCACCCCTAAGCCCCGCCCCGCAGCCCTACCCGCCCCATCGCCAAAGCCCCATCGCCAAAGCCCCATCTCCCAGCGCCAGAGCCAGTTGGGGGTGGTCGGAGTCCTTTGCGCCCCCTCCGGGTTCTGGAGAACGCCTCACCTCCATAGCCCCGCCCCTCTGTGGACTAGCCCCGCCTACCGGTTCCAAGCCAAACTCCTCACACCTAGGGACCTCCGGAACAAACCTTCACCCAAGGAACACTGCCCCTTGCATGCCCGAGTGGCGGTGTTCCCCCATTCCGCCACTCTGTCACCTTGTGGCCCCAGCCCCCCACACAGAGGCAGAAACAGGTGTGGATCCATTGCCTATCTCAAAAGAACCAAAAAGAATGTGGGGTGAACAGTGTGATACATCTGGGAGAACTCCAGGGACTCCGGCCAGAAACCACTCTGTGGAGGATGTGGGGTCAGAATTCGTGAGCAAAATCTGCTGCCAAGCACTGTACCGTTCATTACCATTTATTTTTATATAGAGACGTGGATGGAAAACAGCTTTCTGCTCTTCTTCAATTCATTATTATCCCTATTTCTTGGATGAGCAAACAGTCCCAGAGAAAGAAGTGTCCAGGGGTCATACAGCCGGTGAATAAAGACTGGGACTGGAACCCCACCCTCTTTCCCTCTCCGGCTCAGGGTGCCACACTGATAACTAAAGAGAGTGCCAGTCGTGTCATCAGAATTCTGGGGCAGCGGGAGGAGGGAGGAGCAGCGCCACCTCTCTGGGGTCACAAGCCATTGTTCCTGGAGGGAGGCTGCGACCAGTTCGCCAGCAGATGATCCCTTACCCCGAACCTGTAGCACCTTCCCGGGCATTACCTCATTTTGCCTCATTTTCACTGAAGCCCAGAGAAAGGAGTGACCTGGAGCAAAGTTGGTGGCCGGGCCTGGAGCTGAAGCTTCAAATGCTCAATGCTCTCTGTCCCTCACACCTACCGCTACTGTAGAACGAAGAGGGAATGGTGGCTGGATTGTGCACTCCAAGCTGTGACATTCTGTGAAGCGGAGGGTGGGTAAGAGGAGGGGAAAGAGTGAGCATGAATGGGGGAAAGTGAAGGATGGGCGTGGTTAGTGAGCCCCGACAAGAAACCCATCAACCCCACCCTTCAGACCACTGGGCGTCCTGAGCTTAGGGACCTTCTTATTCCAAACAATGAGACCGTGTGTGCTCTTCCCAAAACAAAACAAAACAACAGAAAACCAAAAACAAAACTGGAGCATGTGCCAGATGGAGTGATTGGAAGTGATGGGGTTAACCTGGGAGAGCTTCGCGGAGGAGGTGAGGCTTGAACGGATTAAGCAAGCTAGCTGGGCGGAGGGCTGGCAGTTCCCGCGGGGGAGAGTGCGGCTTGTGCCAAGGTTTGCGGGCGGCGTGTGCGAAGGGATCGTACTGCGCCGCGGAGCCATGCGGTACGGAAGAACCAGAGGGGTCTGCGTGCGCCCTTGGCGCCGCTTCTCCACCCACGCCGCACCAGAGGCCAGTGCCAGCCTTTCCCCGGCGCCCTCCCTCCTCCCATCCCTCCCCCCCTCCACGTTCAAGGCCCAGCCCAAAGTCCACGCGGGGCTAGGGGGCAAGAAAGGGGGTAGTTTTCCTCCAACCTCCTCTAGAGGCATGGGGCCTCAGGTCTCTCCTTAGGTTACAGAGGGCAAACTGAGGAGGCGAGAGAAGCCATTAGCCAAGGTCACCTTGTAGGTCCGTGGCAGAGCCGGCGTGGAACTCCTGTCCCTGCCCTCCTATGCCAGTGCCTGGGACACGTCCTGCCTGGCGCCGTCGGTTTTCGAAGCTCTGCACTTCCTGGGGCTTCCCGTACTCCAACAGCCTCGGAGCTAGGACGCGAGGGGCCACCATGCACTCCAGGGCTCGGATGCGGTAGCCTCGTCCGAAGTGGTTAGAGCAGACGAGCCCCAATGGGAAGAAACCTCAGGGTCCTATGCGGGGACGGGGCTTCTTAAGGCACGCCTCAGCGATGACAAGAAGGGACGTGATAGTAACAACAATGGCTTCCTCTGGGATTTCCCTTCCTGGGCAGTCCACAGCGAGCGAGCGGACAGCAGCCCCGGGTACCCCGGAGGGGGGCAGACGCTGGCACGTGCCCGCCCCGCCACCGGGTTGGGAGCGAGCAAGCAGGGAAGGGAAAGGGGCATCGGAGCAGACAGATTACAGGGCTGCCCTTCGCTGAGGCTCCCTGGGAAGCCGGGGACGTCGGCAGGGAGAATACCAACAGTTGCCTTTGTTTGGAAATGTATGCAAGAAAAGCCTGGCAGCAAAACAGACTGCTTGCACCTGTTTCTCAAAGAGCCACTTAAGTGGCCGTGTGAAAATCTTTGCAAAGGATCCTCTTGAATGCCGGGGCCGAGGAAGGCATTCTGCACCTGACTAGGGGCTAGGAAAATTATGCAGCAGTTAGAAGGAAGGACAGTTTACGGCTGGTGCGCTATATGGAACTGTAGTCTTGTAAGAACTATTCATTCAATATTGTGAACACTTATTTCCTGTCATGCACCTTGCTAGCACAGCTGGGGATTGCTGATAAACAAGATAGATGTGTTCCCTACCTTCCTCACTTTAAGTTGATCACAAGAGATTTCTATTCTGCTTTTCTGTTTTGTTGCTACTGACTTACCCACATGCTCTTACTTCCTGTCCTGTCCTGCCTCAGGTATCAATCTTCCCTAAAGAGAGTCCTTAGGCCACTCTTAGTCTCAAAGGTGTGATGGAGGCAGGAAGCCCCGAATGTTCCCAGGAGGACAGGACAGAGGATGGCAGAGCAGGTCAGAAGGGGACTTCGGGGGAACCCAGGCTGGACAAGTTCATCTTGGGAGAGAAGGAGAGCAAGGCCCAGTGTTGAGGTCAGGATATAGGCTAGGCTAGATATCGCAGGCACGATTTGGAATCCACGTGTGTGGGCAAGGGTTAACACTTGAAGGGTATGCTCTCCATTCTCTGCTCAGGTGTTACCTCCAGGGAGCCTTTCCTGGCTCCCCCCAGCTGGGCTATGTGCCCCTACCTAGTGCTTTCAACACCCACTGTGCTTATGAGATGGTAGCACTCCCCACATTGTTAGGAAATCATTTGCTTATCTGTCTTGTCACTAGAGCACAAGCTCCCTGAAGGCAGGAATTGTCTTTCTCATCGCTGTTTCCCAAGCGCCCCCTAGTGGCTGACACATCGCCTCGCTAAAGCCATCCCAGAAAGGAGGGGCCGGTTTTCAGAGTGGAAGCAGGATGGAGGAAGTAGGATTTTAGCTGAAGATGGAGAGGATGAAGGAGGGCTGGAGCTTACATGTCACCACCTCAGGGAGGCCTTTCCTGACCCCCAAACTAGGTTAATTCTCATGTTATACATTCTCATTGCACACTTCTTTTTCTTCCTTAGCACTTATCATACTGTAATTAAATTATTTGGTAATTGTTTCTTCATTTGGCTCCCAGGATACCATAATCTGGTTTTCCTTCTACTTCACTGACTGCTTGTTTTCATTCTCCTTTGCTGGTTCCTCCTTATCTGCTCAACCTTTCAATGCTGGGGTAGTCCAGGATTTGATCACCCTCTTCTCTTACCTTTCTACAGATATCATCCAGTCTCAAGGCTTTAAATACTATCTAGAAACAGCAGAAAGCAATGGTTTGAAGCTAAGCAATGGGTATATGGGGGTTTATTGTACAATTCTATTTTTGTATGTGTTTGAAATTTTCTACTAAAAGAAACTTTAAAAAAAAAGGATCTATATGATGATGATTCTCAGATCTCTCACTTGAACTCCAAACTCAAATACTGAAATGTTGACCTCTCTTCTTTAATGTCTAATAGGCATCTCAAGGTTCATTAGTCTAAAACAACTCCTGACCATCACCCTCATCCCAAACCTTCTCTTTCAGCCAGTCCTCCCATGTCGGAACATGGTAACTCCATCCTTCCATTTGCTCAGGACAGAAACCTTAGTTAGAGTCATTCTTCACTCCTCTATTTTCACCCTACATCCAATCTGTCAACAAATCCTGCTCCCACCCTGTCCAAACCACCATCATCAGTCTTGGTAATTGCAGTAGCTTCCTAGGTTGTCTTCCTTTTTCTACCCTTATTGCCCTAGAGCCTATTCTCAATCCAGTGACTAGGCAACATAGGCCAGATTTCGTCACTCCCCATCTCACTCACTGTCAGCCACAGGCCTTCCACTGGCCTCCAAAGCCCTACAATTTAGCCCCCTCTGATTGCATTTCTTATTACTCCTACCTCACTCCAGCTACAGGTTCGACAACACACCGGGCATGTTCCCACCCCAGGACCTTTACATTTACTCGTCTCTCTACCTGTAACACATTCTGCCAGATGTCTCCACAACCCATCTGAGGACCCGCTTCAGGTTTTGGCTCAAATATCACCTTCTCAGGCCCTCTCTGCTTATCCTTTTTAACAACTGCAACCTCCCTTCAACAATTCTCTATCTCTGCCCCTTGTTCTATGTTTCTCCATAGCCATTATTATCACCCAACACATTATATATTTTACTTATTTTATTTACTGTCTATCTTCTCCCACCTGAATATAAGCGCCACGATGGTACAAAGTTTTCTGTTTTGTATGCTGCTGTATCCCCAGCACCTAGAACAGTGTCTGGCACCAATGACAGCACCCAATAAATATTTGTTGAAGATATTAATGAATGTCTGTCTTCCATACTAGGCTATAATCTATAACAGAAAAGAGTTTGACAAATTATCATTGTTTACAAGGTACTAGGCATACAGTAGTGCTTAATAGATATTTGTTGAGTAAGTGAACTGATTAATGAAAAAGGACAATTCATGAGGGGAAATTGTGTGGGAGCAATGGTATAGAGGGTGAGAAAGAACAGGAATAATTAGGGAGGAAAAAGACCAGTTTGATTGTTATGGAAAGTTCACTTTAGGGCAACAGTAGATAGTAAGTGTGGAGGGGTAAGTTAGAATCAGGTTGTAGAGTTCATTGTCAGATTTTAAAGGTTATTTTGCATCCCGGAGGCTATGACCAAAGGAGTGGTAATGATGGAAGCTCTGCTTTATGAACATTGATCTGGAAGTAGTATCCAGGATGAGAGTGGCAGTAGGGAGAACAGTCAGGAGGCTAGGACAACAGTCATTGTGATATGGAAATCCTTTAACTGGGGTGCTTCAAGGTTGTGGAAGCTGAAAAAAGGACAAGTAAAAGAGCCATTAAAAAATTAATAAGACTTTTTGGTCTGATTTTGGAGGAATTAATGAGTCCACAGCCCAGTGACGTTTAGGTTTTGAGCATCATTACCTTGGAAATAGTCATAACATTAATATAGAGAACCAAGAGGAACAGCCAGTTTGGGGGCAAGGTCATGAGTTCAGATTTTAGAGAGGTTTCGAAACAATGGGAGACTAGCATGTGGATGACACTAAACTGACTCTAAAGCAGCGGTTCTCAACCTGTGGGTCGCGACCCCTTTGGGAGTCAAAGGACCCTTTCATAGGGGTCGCCTAAGAACATCGGAAAACAAAAAGATATTTACATTATGATTCATAACAGTAGCAAAATGACAGTTATAGAGTAGCAATGAAAATAATTTGATGGTTGGGGGTCACCACAACATGAGGAACTGTATTAAGAGGTCGCAGCACTAGGAAGGTTGAGAACCGCTGCTCTAAAGCTTAGTTGTCACAGCTGAAGTCTCCGGTATAGATTGGCTCTCTGAAGAAGAGAGGAGAGGGAGCACAGCAGGAGCTTAAAGAGCAAACCATATAGAATATCCATAGTCAGGAGGTGAGAGAAGGAAGAGGAGCCAGGAAGGGAGACTGAAAACTTACCGAAGATGGAAGAGGAGAAGAACCAGAATATTGCAGAGCTGCAGAAATGAAAAGGCTTGAAATTGGTAACGTTGAACAGAAAGGAGATCTGAACTCGTGATCTGGCCCCCAAACTGGTTGTTCTTGATTCCTCTAGTTATGGTAACATTATGACTATTTCCAAGATAATAATGCTCAAATCCCCAACATCACTGGGTCATGGACTCATTATTTAAGGTCCAAAACATAACCTGACATTTTTCACGTTATTTAGTCACACGGCCTGAAATTCTACCAGTTATTCCTTTTGTGTTAGTAAGAATTAAGCAGGTGAGGCATCACAATCTTTCTCATTATAAGCTGAATTACAGTGTTTTAATCAGATTGCTTTCCACTAACCCTTAAGGATGATATCATTGTATGGAGATAATAGTTTTTATTAGAAATGTTGGAAGGAGAGGAAGCGAGAGAGGTAATTTTGGAGTTTTGACTGCTTGGGGAGCAATGTTGGGAGGATTTTGAATAGCTAGTGGACAGCATGAGGGCACTGGGTAGGGGAACAAGAAAATGAGGTTCGAAAGGCTAAGAGAAGGATGCAGAAAGGGGATGGGCAATTTGCAAATCTTCCTAGAGGAAAAATCCTGATTTTTGCCTTCTTCCCTCTTTACAAAATTGGGAGGGGACAGGATAGAAAGGATGATGATGATGATGATGATGATGACGATGATGACAATAATGATAAAACACCATGTGCCAAGCACTGTTCAAATTAAATATTTAATCCTCCTAATGAGCCTAATAGGTAGACACTATTATCTCTATTTTACAGGTGAGATAGGTGTGCCCTGTTAGCCTATCCTTAGGTCTGCAGAGTATGAGGTTGCAGGTCAAAGAGGACAGGAAAGTGAAACAGCCTTCCTAGCTGGAAGCCCTTCACCTCCCACCCCAAGATGTCTACCCTGCGGAAGACAGGCAAACAAACTGGACCAGCGGTGATTTTTGGTCACATGTAGTATGTATGCCTTCAACTGGAGGGAGAGAGAGAAAGAGGGGCATTACCTGACTTTACCCATGACAGGAAGGAAATATCAAGTATAGTTTTGGTCTCTAACCTGGATTTTAAAGAGAGCTGGGGTGTATGAGGAACAGTCATGGTATAGACACTGAACTTGGAGTCAGAAGACTTAGATTTGGATCTCACTGATTGACCTTGAGCAGGTTAATCCTTCTCCCTGGGCTGCACTTTTGTCCATTACAAAATGAAGGCACTGGTTGGGAGTTAAATAGTCTTTGAGGTCCCTTCCAGCTGGAAAACTGCACAATTCTAGAGCCTGGTGGTTGGGTATGACAAATTATGATCTCTGTCTCCCACTGCATATGTCTGAGAGCATGATATTTTGGGTATAAATATGCCAGTGTCTGCTGTCTGTGTGTATTCCAGCTATATGACTAAAACTTTAGTTGTTTGTGGGTAAATAAGGGGTGATTCTTTGTTTTCTCCAGGATAGACCAAATGGCTCTGTGAGGTAGTAAACTAGAAGATCCCCCACTCAAGATACGGTGGGAGGACAAATGACTCCAGAAAAGGTTTTAGTCTGTAACCATTCTTTAGCATGGTTATTATTTTCTCTATTTTTTTGAAACAACCAAATCTAATTTAGTCTTGACATCAACCCTGGGAAATGACAAAGGTTTTTACAGAAGAGGAGAACGAGACTCAGATTAAGTGACTTGTCCTAGATCAGCTTGTTAGAGCTGGAGTCAGAACTCAGGCCTAGGACTTCCGACTCCTGGCTTGTGAGTTCTTCCTGGTTCCGTGCTGGGTGCTAGAAGAGACCCTGTGCATGGGAAACAGAGTTAAAGGGGGTCTGTTTCTAGGTGAAGGCAAAGTGAAGAGCCTCTGGCCAAAGGACACCAGGCCAGCTTGCCTACTCTATTCGCATATCTGCAGCCTACCGGCTACAGCATCATTTCAGTCAGAGCAGAGGCTTCGGGAACTTAAAGATAATGGCTATTTCAAGCGCCATGAACTATAAATAGAATTAGAATGTCGGAGGGCAACGATAAGAAGTAATAACATTCTGGGCCTTCTGGCAAGATGTGAAGGATGTTTACTAATTCTCAGCACCTAATTTGCCTTCATGTCTATAAAGCAGGGATGTGACCATACTACCTCTGGGGGCTGTTGTGAGGCTCAAAGGAGGTAATTAGGTAAAAATGCCTCTGAAAAGCCACACAAACGTTTGCTGGTTTAATCAACCAAGCAACATTTATTGAACATTTACAATATTCCAGGAAGAACTGGAGGAAAACTAAGACAAACAAGAAACAAGGAGCTCAGAATCACCATTACCATCTCCCTATTTCCCTCTTTCTCTTAACTCCATGTGTCTCTTCTTGTCTAGGACTACATGAGGAAAGATGGGCCCTGTAGTCCTGTCCAGTGCCCCAGGGAATGTTTACTGTGGCCCTAATTACATTGGACCAGCAGAGGGCTCCCTCTGCTGTAGCTCATTCAACAAATCATTAATTCGCTTACTGCAAACCAGGCATGGTTCTAGGTGCTGGGGATACACTGGGTGAACAAACAGACAAGGTCCCTGCCCTCTTGGAGTTCCTTATCTGCTGGGGAAGGAAGACCTTAAGCAAATCAACATGCAAATACATATATATTCACAAACTATGGTGAGGGTGTTATGAGGTGAGGAGAGAGGAGTAGAACTTCATTTAAAAGGCTTCTCTGAGGAGGCACAAAACTAAGATCCTCAAAGGATGAGAAGTCCTGGGGAGGAGCAGCGTGGCCAAAGGCCCTTGAAGTGGGCACGGTGTCTTCAAAGAACTGACAGAAAAAGTGTGGCAGAGACCAGAGCAAGCAAGACAGTGGTACTGGATAGAAGGAGGGTGAGAGGCGGGGCCTGACTATGCGGGGAGGGGGGGGGGGGGGGGCCTGTAGACTGAGGCATGGAATTCGCTGTAAGTGCACTGCACTTCTAATGCCTTCTCTCTTTGCAGTGCTAGTGAAAAAATAACTTGAGTTGTTCTGCTAGTTCTGTCGTCCTGTGATGGTGATGAAAAGTTGGATGTTAGAGAAATCTGGCATAGTACAAACCATCAAGACAACTGTCAGCTTTAGCTCCTTTACTTTAAGTGACTAACTTCTAAATTCATCTGACCCAGAACCTATGAACTTGGTTGGTGATGCTAAAAATTGTCATCCCCATCCCCACAGAAAAGGGGGAAAAGGCTGCAAGAGATGCCAGACCGCCCTTGGCTACTGGCGCCCAGCAAATCCCTACGTTCACACTTCCTGCGTGCGAAATAAGTCCCAGGGCCGACGTAGCCTCACCTCCCAGACCTTCCGGCGGCGCCAAAAAAGGACCCCGAGTGTTGACGCAAGCAAGCGGGCCGCTGGACCCCGGTGGTGTGAGGTTTCACACGCTGGTGGAGGTTGTGTAAGGCCTCTATCTGGCTAAAGAGAGTGACCCCGATATACAGCGCCAGGTTGGACGGGGAGTCCTCACAGCCAGAGGGGACCTGGGGAGCCAGATCATTCCCCTCTGAACTTGTTGCCTTGGTTCTGCTGGGCCACAGCCTCCCAGCTCTCCCTGCTGTCCGGGTCTTGCTCCTGTTCCTTCTCTGGTCGTTCCCCACAGCTGTCCTTTTTCGCTTCCTTCTTCATCCCCTTGTTCACCCCACTGCCCCGTTTCTGAGGAGCAGGGGATGGGATGGGTTGAGAGGGGACGCTGGGGGCGAAGAATAGTCTCTGACCTCGCTTTGTTGCACTGTTTGACTTGGCTGTTGGACACCTGACCTATCTTAGGCAGTTTGGGTTTATTCTGAATTGCTTTTCCCTTGGGAAATTGTAGATCTCCCTGATTCCTGACCCCAACCTGTTCAGGGGTTGGGGCCACCCTGGTCTCTCAAACCCAGCAACCAGGGTGGACAAGACTAGGGCTGTTTACTTAAGGTGCTAATAGCTCTGGACGACATTAGCCACTTCCCATGTTGAGACCTCCCTCTGCTCTCTCTAGGATGTGGGGTATCCAGAGGTCTGCATAGCTGAAGGACACTGGAAAATGTGAGATGTTTCCTCTTTAAAATTTGAATTCGAATGTCTTTTCCGGTCACCTGCACTCCTCTGCTAGTCACAGACCCCACTCGTTGTCTTATACTGTCCTTTTGCAGTCCCTTACCTGCCCAGCCCCTGAAGTCAATGAGTTTCCTGCCACTGCAAGTTCACTCCTCTATGGCCTCACCTGGGGAAGTTCTCACGAATGCTGCTTCTCTTCTGACCCAGATCATGGCTCACGTGGATAAAGCAGCCCGCCAGCTGTCCAAAAGTGGGACGACCCTCTATGCAGTGTTGGAGCTTCAGAAGGGTGCCTCACCTGAAGACATCAAAAAGTCCTACAGGTTCAGACCTCAGCCCCTTATTAAACCCTGGAATTTCCCCCCTGAAACCCCTTTCTTTCTACCTTCCTTGCTGGCCCATTTTTCAATCCCCAAGCCTTCCCTTCAGTGTGGCATGGGAAGGAATTTAGACGTGGTCTGCTTGCCTCCATCCATCCTTTGTACCACATCTCATGCACTTCTTCATCGTCTAGAGATCTATTCCTGTTACTCATCCTAACCCTCCCTCCCCAGCCACTCCCTATTCTTTCCCTACCCTCCTTTTGGGTGTTGCCTGGGTAGGAACCTGGCCTTGAAGTATCATCCGGACAAGAATCAAGGGGACGCTCAAGCAGCAGAAATATTCAAAGAGATCAACACAGCTCACTCCATACTGAGTGACCCTAAGAAGAAGAAAATCTACGACCGGCATGGCTCCCTGGGAGTATATATATATGATCATTTTGGCGAAGAAGGTGTCACATACTATTTTACACTGAATAGTTGTTGGTTCAAGGTACACAGTCCTTCCTAGTCCCTTAAGAATAAGGAAGGAGGGATAATCTCACACCGTTCTCCTCGCTCACTCACTTCACTCCTGGCAAGACTCTTCTTTTAATTCCTCCAATATTTTAAAACCTTTACCCTCTCATGGTTTCTGTACATGCTATCCTACATTAAAAAAAAAAAAACGCATCCCCTACTGCAGCCTAAGCTAGTACCGTCTCAATTTTTGGCTAAAATATTATCATACTCAAAAAAAATAATAATACTAAAAATAAGGAAGGAGGGGTGATTCTCCTCATCTAGGACTCCTCTCCTTACCCTCGTCTCCTAGGACAAATGCTTCTTTTGCCTCATTATTCGGGTGCTAGGAGGATTGAAGGAGGAGGGGATATATAGAAGAACTGCTGGACCGAGACCATTCTTTCCTGCCTTTTAGACACTCGTCCTCTTTTGTGCTCTGCTCACCTGTTGCTGTTGCTGCTGCTTCTGCTGTTTTTGCTGTGGAGCACTGAAGCCACCTGAGGAGGTAGTGAGGAGAAAATTCCAGCAGGACGCCCAGAATCAGTCTTCGAGTTCAGGTGAGAAGCACAGACAGGGACTGAGGTAAAAGCTGGATTAGGAAAGGAAGAAACGGTCGGGGCTGAAACTTTGAACCCCTAAATAGAAGAATCTCAAGTTGGTATTGGGGCAAAGTGAAGAAAGAGAAGGGAAGACACTAAGTTTCTGAGGGGCTTATGCCACCAACTGGTGGTTTGAGTGTAATGGCCTCTCAGGACCGTTAAGCTAAGGAGTGGTGAGAGAGTGTGCCTAGAAAAAGCAGTCGCTGAAGACAAGTCAGAGGATGCTGTTTATTGCAGTTCCTCAAAAGGAAGATGAAGTCAATTCACTTTAAAATGTGAATTGACTGGAGTGCACAGCAGTGCCACCTAGTGATGCTAGTGTGTAACTGCAAGGTAACGATTTTCTCGCCAGTAGGCTAAAATATTACTAAATGTTTGCATATATGTTTTTCAAATTCCATCATAGGTAACAAAGAAAATTTTAGCGAGGAAGACAATTATAGAGAAGATTAATATTAAAAGATGAAGAAGAGTGAGGTATGAAAACTGAAATGTAGCAATAATTAAAGGATAAGAAAAGAATATACACTAACTGCAGATGAGTCAGTCATTAGTGGAGAGTTTATATCCTTGTAGTATGGACTACAGGTGTTTATATCTTTACCAATAAGGGGTTTGCCTTACATTCTGGGTGCTCATCCCCTCTGTTTAATAAGATGCCAACTTCTTCTGTCCCTAGGTGCTAACCCAGTGAAGGTGACTTCTGCTGCCCAGCCCACTGGACAGGTTGACAAGAGGAGCAAGTAGCCCTGTCCTGACATTGACCTTGATTTACCCCTCTTCTTGTAAGAATCCCAACTTTAGAAGGATGCTGTCTCTGTCCTTGATAGTGTCACCGACCCTGGGGATACAGGGTCGACCAGCTACTCCTTTTTAGCTCCAGTCCCAATTTTAATCTATTAGAGAGCAGACCTCCTATCCCTACCCTCAAGAGGTCTCAGGCAGTAAAGACAGACTTTTCCCAAGCATCCTTTGTCCTGTGTCTTCCTTGGGATTTGAGTCAATATCAGGTGGGTAGGATCCCTGAGTCACTTGTGATCTTTCCACCAAGATCCTGCGCTGGGGTGGATCCTGTCCCAGAGCTGTGGAACCAGCTAACCCTCTTTTGTTGCAACTCTGTGTACCAAGAGCTCTTAGCATCAGCCTCATTTCTAAGCCAGTACACCTTTCTGGTGTTGGTCTCACCTTCCGGTGCCCACACACTTGGCATTGCCAGGCTCATTCCAAGGTATGAATGTATTTGAGGCTGAGGGGTAGATCTCTACCTTTGGGTGCTCCCTGCACTGCAGCTACCAGCATGGCACCCATTAGCAGGGTCCTGTAGGTTGACTGAAGTTCACACGTCAGTGCCTATTTGGCTCCATTTTTTTTTACCACATCTTATGCAGGCTGATCACCATATATTTTGTTTTAAAAACAGGGGCATGAAATTTATGATAGGGAAAAGACTGTACTTTTACGCCTACAGACTCTTTCCCCACTCATGCCCCTTTGTGCTGCCTGTTGGGTATCCATCCTCTCTGTACCATTTATTTGCTGCCCACCCAGGACCAGAGCCTAGTAACTCCTCACACTTCTTTCTCCTGACTGGGAGAAGGGCTAAGGAATGTAAGTAAATAAAAGAGCTTTTATCCAATCCCAGTGCATATGTGGAGCTCCCAAAAGACACATTGTGTCTGGGATAGAGAGAAAGGCCTATAGGAGAAAAAGATAGAGGGTGCTCACATCTGAAACCAGCCTGCCTTGGAGAGTGGCAATCCAGGACAACTGTGGACTTGGGGCAGACGCTTCCCGGAGCCTTGTGCTTATGTCAGGGCTCTAAAATGTCCCTGGAGATCAATTCCCCTGGTGCTCAAAATAGGTCCCTGGCATTCAGGTCTTTTCTGTCCAGCTCAGCTTCTCTCAATTTCCTCACAAATCTAAAGTCCTTGGAGTGGCTCCAGTGATGTGTTTATGGACCAGAGTCTCACACTTTCTCGGGGGCATGCTCATGAGGTCGTCCCTGGCACAACTGCCAGCTGTAACCTTCTGAGCTTCTTTTCTTTGGGTGATATAAGAAAGCTCTGGGTGAGAACAAAAGTGGACCAGAAATGTTGGACCAGAGCCTCTCTGTCTAGTCTCTGGTGCTCCTGTACTGAATCGCGGTGTTCAGAGGAAGAGGGCCACTGGCTAATCCTTGGAGGCAGAAATTGTCAATGACTGTCTGTAGGTCTGGCAAGATCTGTTCTTCTACCCTGAGCCATGTACGCCGATTGACACTGTGTCACTGCCCTGGAAGAAGGGCCCAAGCCAGATGATGGGGGTCAGGAGGTCACAGGAGCCTTCTGAGTGACAGAGCAAGTGACAGCCCAATACCTTTGCTGGCCCACCTTTCACCACAAGCAGTGAAGCTCACCCCTGCTCTTGCTCAAGAGAGTCACCCTTTCCTGAGTGAGTCAGGGTCACTCACTTGGTAACAGCTGTGGCTCGCCTTACATGAGCTAAATCGGGAGTTGGAATGTCACACAGATGCCCCTTGTTCCCCACCCCCACGTTAAAATTAATCTCCTCTCTGGGGAGTGAGGAACAAACAGTGCTGCCCATAGCGTGAGCACGAGTCATTTGGGGAACAAAGGGAGAAATTTCCAGGGACAGAATCACTCAGGGAGTGAGGGATTGAGAAAACTGCATGTGCCTGACTGGGGTACAGAGCAAAGAAGAGAGAGACAAGACGTGTCTGAAAGCAGCTGCCTAAGGACAAGGAGAATTGTCAGAGGAAGGACGGAGAGATAGTAGAGCTATTTCAAGAGTGAGCAACAAAAGGGAACATAAGAATCTACAGACTATCTGAAGTAAAAGGGTTCAGAGTCAGTGAGGGAAGGCCAGGACCAGGGCCAAGGCCAGGGTAGGCACGATCGCTGAGGGGATGAACTTCACAGTGGGTTTCAAGCCGCTGCTAGGGGATGCACACAGCATGGACAACCTGGAGAAGCAGCTCATCTGCCCCATCTGCCTGGAGATGTTCTCCAAACCGGTGGTGATCCTGCCCTGCCAGCACAACCTGTGCCGCAAGTGTGCCAACGACGTCTTCCAGGTGGGCCGGGGCAGGGGCAGGGCCAGGTGAAGCAGTGCAGACCCGTGGGAGACTTCTCATCTGGTCAGAGCTGAGCTCCCAGCAGGTGATGGGCAGAGTGCTCTATGAGATGGGTGGTGGCTGTCCTGGCTGAAGGGCAGAAGAAGAGCTGGGGGCCTAGCAGATCCCAAAGTAAGCATGAGTCAGCAGCTGCTCTGCAGGCTGCAGAGGACAGCCTGTGCGTGGATAGTGCTGGAATGCTGGTATCCACAAAGGAAAGCAGACCCCTAGACACTAGGAGGGAGGCGATCCCACACCAGGCTGTGTAACAGTCTGCTAGACTACATTCCAGTTGGGACTTTCAGATTTCGAGAACATCATGGAAAATCTGGAGAAAATAGCATTGAGATAATGAAACGTTAAAAAATAAACCCTGTGAGAAAGGTCCATGATGACATGAAACAATTTAAGGACAAGCTCAGCACATCCATCTTTTGGGGGCAGAATTAGTGGGCAGGAGACTGGGAATCCTCCCCAACTGAAAATCCCACCTGTGCCCCACTGTGGATGAGTCAAGAAAGGGGCCTGCCTGTTAAAAAGCATGGAGGTCACTTAAGCAGAGAGAAGGCAGGGAAGAAATTTTACATCCCAGAAATGCAACCAGTATGGGTTTACATTTGGTCGCGGGGCAAAGCAGAGCTAATCAAATTCATAGGTATCATTTTAGCTTCTGGTTTCATAACGAAAAGCAGCATATGCCAGAATGGTTTATAAATGGGCTTTCTTTCTTGCCCTGTGCCACTTGTGTAGGTTCTAGTGATCCACAAAATGGGACAAACAGAAGTGAGAGTGAGGGCAAATCTCACACACACACACACACACACACACACACACACACACACTTTGCAAATAAAGTAAAAACTCTGAATAGACCAGAGCTAGCTGGCTTAATATGCATGGCTGCTAAAAAGAACATCATGAACGTATATTTCTTCGTCTGTATCAGAAGTTATGAGGAAATGTGTTGCACACAAGTGATTTTTAACTTAACTGAGAAACACTTCCCTTTGAAGTTCGTGGGGGCAGCATTTTTGGGGGGAAGTAATGGGCTCACTGAGTCAGGCCACCCCTCAGCTATGCCTGGGACCCACTTTTTGTCTGTCTGCTGTCTGCCATCTTTACTAAGTGCCCAGCCCTGTAGTCTTGCCTGCCACCTTCCCATCGAGGCTCATTCCCAACTACTATTCCATTACAAGCTTATTTGGCTCCAGAATGTCTCAGAGCCAGTGATTTTCCCTCTCTGGGGGCCTAGAATGACTGTTACGCTGGCTCACCCTGGGCATCAAGTCGTGTACAAGAGGCTGTGCTTTGCCCGCCATCTTGGTTTTGCCCTTGGCCTAAGAAACTCCCTAAACATCCTTCAGGCTGAGATGCCTAGGATGGAATGGCAAAAAGACTGTGCCATCACATCTCAGGAATTTGTAATGAAATATCCTTTCATTAGAGCCTGAAATGTGGGCAAGCAAAGAGAAGTTCTGAAAATGAAGGTAACGTGTCTTGAAAAAAATAGAATATTAAAGTGAAAGGCACACAGTATCGTCAGGCAGAGGGACCCAGGGACAGGAGACTAGAAGATGTGTAAGTGACTTCCGTTGTTTAAGTCAGCCCTCTGTATTCAGGCATACTTACTTTGGTTCCTTGATGCCTGGGCCCTGAGAAACCTGGGAAGACTTTGGGTCAAACCCTGTGCAGAATGTTTGGGAGACAGCATGATTCCCAGGGCCTTGGGATGGTTCTGCGGATCTTTTCAAGTGCAGAGCACCCCTGGACCCTCCAAGGAGAGAAGAGTGAACAGCTCATTTTCTTGCTGCTTTATTTGGGCTGGCTTGGTGGGAGGCTGACCTAGTTCTTCAGCTGTACTTATGTATATACATCTCAGTAGATCTCCCTCTGAAAGGAGCATATTTAGTTTTTTTCACACATTGCCTCCACATTTTGACAACTCTAAACATAATCAGATTGTCTGTTTTCTAAGTTTGGGGACAAGAATAGGACTTTTAGTTCCTCTATCTTCAAACCACTTAGGAAGACTACCCTTAAAACATTGCCTAGAAAGTTAATAGGACTTATGAAAGTGATACCAGTATGTTATATTACACACACACATACACACACACACACACACGCACACTTTTTTTCAAACAGTATAGGAGTTTATATCATGAAAAGTGACTCACCACCTCAGGTGCGCAATTCCCTTCTCCAGATGGAGGTAGCCATTACCAACTTTCTTGGGTAGCCTTCCAGAAATTTTCCACGAATAAGCATGTGTGTGTGTACACATACATTTAAACTAGACTTGTTGTCCTATACCTGCGTTTATTCACTTACTCTTTCTTGGCAGTGGTTGCATATCCACATTCAGATCTGTGTTTTTCTTTTTCATTGGCTGGAGAGTGTTCCGTTGTTATGACTGGACCGCAGTCTATTTAATCAGTCCTCTAAAACATTTAGATGGTATCCAGTGTTTTGCTGTCCTAAGAACTGCTGCAATGGACAAACAACAATTTTGGGGAATTGTGATTTTATAACATCAGTTAAACTAGAGAGCCAGGAAGCAAAATTTGAAAACTTAAAACATTTAATTGAAAATGTTAAAAATGAAAAAAATGAAAAAGAAAATGTTGGACAGTATTAAGGGTTTGGAAAGAAGTCATATATAATTCTACCTCCCCAACACAATTATTCCCATGTTTGCATATTACTTTCAAGCCCCTGTCCCCATACATATTTTTACATAGTTGCCATCACAATTTAACATGTTTTCATCAGAGCTGTAATCTCTCTCTCTCTCCCTCTCTCTCTCTCTCTCTCTGAGTTTAAACTGAATGAAACACCAAGACATC